TGTGTTTACCCAAGACATTGCTCTGTGTGTGTCACTAATGAAGCAAATGTGATGATGATGATGATGATGATGATGATGTTGGGTCTATGTGGATCTAGAAAAAGTGCATAAGGTATAGAATGGATTCACTTCCCCGCTGACATGGAATCTACTACCACCATGAAGTGAAGCTTATCAATGCGGAAAAAAGTTATTCTTAATCATGTTGTTATTGAATGTTAAATCTTAAAATTATGAATTTTATCTATAATTTTAATTATGAATATTATTTTAACTATTAATTTATCTATCATTTTAAAATTATGAAGATCTGTGGCTCCACTAAGATACACAGCCAGCATTCATTGGATTTTTCCTTGCCTGCTGCTAACATTTCACGAATTTCCTTTGGAATATTTTAGAATGTTTCCCATCGCACCTTAGGACTTTAGAATGACTTTGTAATTATCACCATCCTCTTACAATACCCTGGAAAAATCCCAGGACACATAATAATTTTTCTCATGAAGAAACACAAAGGTTTCCCACTTTATCTGATTTTATCTAAAACTTTATCCTGGGAATCTTTCCTCATTTATAGCACCATCCGGACCCACTTTGTGAATCCTCCATTGTATGTAAGTGTGCCTTTTGTTCATTAGTCAGCACCTCCTTTATCTAGCTGGCACTGGACCATCAAGACCCATCAACCATCCATCAAACCACATTCCAACTAAATGCACCATTTCTGGGAAAGACTCACAAACAGACACAAGACTTCAAATTCACAAATGACATTTGATTATATTTCCTGCTTTGCCTCTGATTGATTTCTCAGAGGCAGAAATGGACTCGCCTCTATTGGGAATAAAGCTACTGATTTTGCTTTCAATCCATTTGTGTCTCATCTGGCCTTCTGGAACCTTGACACTCCGTCCCAAACTTGCAATTTTACCAGAGTTTAAATCACATAACATTATAATTTCACATGAAGAGAACATAGGTTGAGTCTCTGCTCAGCCATAGAAGCCCACTGGGTGATCTCGGGGAAGTCAAATATCCTCAACCTCAAAGAAGGCAAAAGCAGGTCATCTATGGACAAATCTTGCCAAGAAAAATCCATGATAGATTCACCTTGGCATCACCATATTTTGGAAATAACATGAAGACACATAGCAACAATTTTTGAAATAAAAAATTTGAAAGCCAGGAAGATGTAGTGGATCATTGGAGTTGGGGTGCGTCTATGCTGTAAAATGCAGCTTGGCATCACTTTAACTGCCATGACTCAATACTATGGAATCATGGGAGCTATAGTTTTACAAGCTCTTCAGCCTTCTCTGCCAAAGTGTCAGTGCCTCACAAAAGCAAAACTCACAGGATTCCATAACATTGAGCCATAACAGTTAAAATGGTGTAAAACTGCCTTAATTCTAGAGTGTACCTTGGACACTAGGAGGCCATATTGAGCTTTGCCACAGTGAGAAAAAAATGTCTTGGACTGATCCTGTTGCTGTTCCACTTAAAAAAAAAACTATCACTTTGCCCCAGACGCTTTTTATGCAGGGATTTTCCATTGTAGGCTCCAGACTCAGATTTCCCACTCACAAACACTTTGTGTCTATACATGACTACACAGGTCCCTGTGCTGAATCCCTTCTTGTATGCCAAATGTGCTGCTTGCTAGTGTGTGTGCATATTAATGATGCCAGTCAACATGATTCACACAGCAGCTTCTTGGAAGATGTTATTTCAATGTATTTTGCAGCAATCCGCCTGTTGCTGTTCTCTCTTGTCTTGTCAACATGGAGTGACTAGCAACTGACCTCTTTGACCTGAGTATGTTAGAAAGCACTGCGTCTTAGGGTACATCTACACTGCAGCTTGAACTACTTTAACTGCCATGGCTCAAGATCCTGGGAGTTGTCATGCTAAAAGGTCTTTAGCCTTCTCTGCTGAAAAGTGCTGGTGCATCACCAAACTACGTGACTCAGGATTCCATAGCATTGAGCCATGGCACTTAAAGTAGTGTCAAACTGCATTAATTCTATCATGTAGATAAGACATGGGCAAACTTCAGCCCTCCAGGTGTTTTGGACTTCAACTCCCACAATTCCTAACAGCCAGGAAAATGGCTGGGATTTCTGGGAGTTGAAGTCCAAAGCACATGGAAAGCTGGTTTGCTCCATGCCTGGTGTAGGTGCATTCTAAAGGCCTTGAATCTTGCGGGAGTTGTAAGCCACCTTGAGTCCCCCTGCAGAGGTGAGAAAGATGGGAGAACAAATGAAGAAAATAATAATAAATAACAATAAGGCCCATCAACACTGGACATTTCATGCCATTTCAGATTGAAAAAAAGTGGTTTCGCTGTGCAGATAATTGCACAGGAAATTCTGGATCGTGTTTGAAGCCTGGGTGGTGATTACACAAACCACAGAGCACCGGTACACATTAAAGGCTTTCTTTCGCATGCTTTTGTGGAAGTTTTTCATCTGACCACCAGTTTAAAACCAGCTTTGAACAGCATTAAATGGTCAGTGTAGATGGGGCCTACATTTACAGGGAAATGCCTGCAGTCCAACCAACCTCATGCAAGTTGGAACTATAGGCCACAGCATACAGGTAAAGGATACACTTGGATGTGGGAATGACCTTAACTGTCTTGAAGGAGCCTGTGTTGGCAGAGGATGCCTCTAGGGCAGTGGTTCTCAACCTGTGGGTCCCCAGGTGTTTTGGCCTACAACTCCCAGAAATCCCAGTCAGTTTACCAGCTGTTTGGATTTCTGGGAGTTGAAGGCCAAAACATCTGGGAACCCACAGGTTGAGAACCACCGCTCTAGGAGAAGGCTGTGTTAAATCAGGCCTTTCCACATTTTAAAATTTTCTTTTGATGGCCAGTCTTGCTTGCCTGTTTCCTTGGTGTGGTTTTTGATGCTAAACGTCATGTCTTTGCCCACTAATCGTTTGGCTACCTGACTCCGCATTGCAGAGGGGAGTGCTGGCACCCCAGGAAGGCAACAGGAAACTTAAGGAGGCAAGCACCTTTTCCCTATAAAAGTGGCTAGCATTGGAAAAATCTGCCAAGATAAAGTGAACCCAAGGCTTGAGTTACCAGACCGGAGATCTGCAGCCACTTCCTGCTCATGGAATATTGTTTTACACAAAGGGAGAGGAGGGGAAAGACTTAAATCTCTCCTGCCCCTCTTAGGCACTGTTGCCCATTGCATCCTGAAAGGACTGAGAATCGGTCAGTAGTCAACATCCAAGGAGACATTGCTAAAGAGAAAAGAACATGTAAAAACACTTGCGTGAAGTAAAGTGTTTTTACATGTTCTTTTCTTGATGAAGTAAAACAGTTGCGATAGGAAAGCAGAATCAAGCCAAGAAGTTAGCAGAATGGCAATAATATTCTCATCCTACGTCTTTAAGGTGGGAAACCCCTTTTAACATTTTAATTTCTTTTATTTTGTGATTTTTTTTTAGGTGGGGGAGGGTGGAGGAAGCTAGTTTGAATTAGTGTCTTGGCGGTGTGATGTTGTGAAAAATTACTGTCTTTGCAAATTGTACAGTTTAACATTTAGATTTTAGTAGTACTTGTGTTTTGTCCTGCTTTACTATATATATATAATATGGGGGTAGTAGACTCTCAGGCCCCTTCCACACAAATGTATAAAATCCACATTGAACTGGGTTATATGGCAGTGTGGTCTCAGATAATTCAGTTCAAAGAAGATATTGTGGATTATCTGCCTTGATATTCTGGGTTATATCGCTGTGTGGAAGGACCCTCAGTTAACTGTCACCCATGGGGATTGGTAGATACTGGGGGAGATAAAGCAGATTATAAATAAATATAACTAGCTGTCCCCTACCATGTGTTGCTGTGGCCCAGTCTGTGCATATGTGTTTTGTGTGTGGTTATATTTATGTATATGTGTATATAGGTGTGTTTGCGTGTATATGTGTGCGTGTGGTTTTGCACATTGTTATGATTTTGGTTTATTTTTAAGTCTCTTCTGCTGTGTGTTTCAGTGTTTTTATGAGTGATGGTCATTTGTTGTTCTGATAGGTGTGCTGTGTCCAAATTTGGTTTGGTTTCAATTCATCCAGTGGTTTTTGAGTTATGTTAATCTCACAAATGAATGTAATTTTTTAAATATAGACTAGCTGTCCCCTGCCATGCGTTGCTGTGGCCCAGTCTGTGTCTATGTGTTTTGTGTATGTCTGTGTCTGTGTGGTTTTGCGCATGCGTTGCAATGTAATTTTTATTTTTTGGCTTTTCAAGCCTCTTCAGCTGTGTTTTTCAGTGTTTTTATGAGTGAAACCTGATAGGTGTATTGTGTCCAAATGTGGTGACAATTTGTCCAGTGGTTTTTAAGTTCTGTTAATCCCACAAATGAACATTACATTTTGATTTATATAGATAATAATAAATAATATAACTTCTGATTCCTTGAGAGTGACTATGGGCCCTTCCACACAGTCCTAAATCCCAAAATATCAAGGCAGAAAATCCCACAATATCTACTTTGAACTGGGTTATCTGAGTCCACACTCAGATATTGTGGGATTTTCTGCCTTGATGTCCTGGGACATAGGGCTGTGTGGAAGGGCCCTGAGATATATGACAGTGTAGACTTCAAATAACTAGTTCAAAGCAGTAATTGTGGGAATTTCTGCCTTGATATTTTGGGATATATGTGATAGGGTCCTCAGCGGGGCGGGGCGGACAAACAAGAGCAGGAGCAGCAGCTGCCGCCTTCTCACCTCAAAGCAGAAATTGTGGGGTTTTCTGCCTTGATGTTGTGGGTTATATGGCTGTGTGGAAGGGTCCCTAGAAATCCCCTTGCCTTTCGAATTGGCCCCCTTTCCCCAGCCTCAGTGGGTCAGACAAACAAGAGCAGGAGCAGGAGCAGGAGCGGCCTCCTTCTAAGCGTGGCACTTTGGCGACGTCCCCTTCGAGTGTTTCCACGCTCCCTGCGCAGGCGGGCACTTTGGCGACGCTCCCTGGCTCGGGAGAGGAGGCTGCTGCTGCTGCTGCTGCTGCTGCTCACGCTCCCGGCCGAGCGGGCGGCTCCGCAGACGCTCCCTGCTCGGCCCGGGCTCCCTTCGGAGGAGGTGCTTGCTTGCCTGCCTGCCTGCCTGTTTGCCGTGCAAGAGCTGGAAGGGAAGCTTAGCTCTCCTCGCTTCTCCTCCTCCGGCGACTCCAATTCCGGCCTCCCCGCCGCCCGTGCGGGGAGGGAGGGAAGGAGGCAGGAAAGCGGGCGGCAGAGGAGGGCAGCCCGGGCCCGGCCAGGGTCTGCGAAGGATGGGCAAGGAGGAGGAGGAAGGGGCCGCTCGCCGGAGACGACGCAAGAGGACCCGCGGGTAGGAAGAGAAAGGATTGGCGCCGCGCGCTCGCTCGCGCTCTCCCCGTCGCGCGCGCTCTCTCCCTCTCTCTCGGCTGCCCCACTTGGGCGAGCAAGCGCGCGCGCACAAACACACACCCTCCCCTCTGCTTCTCTTTTCTGGCAACAGCGCGCGCTCCCAGGGAAAGGGACCCGCGTGGTGGCGGCGGGCGAGGAAGGCCCAGGGGTCTGCAGAGAGGAGGAGGAGGAAGGAGAGCGGGAGGAGAAGCGCAGGGACACCTTCCTCTTTCCCCCTCCCTCCCTCCCCCTCCCTTTTCGCTGGTAGTTCACTCTCCTCCTGCTGCTCCTCCTTCCCTTTCTTTCCCCTCAGGGCTCTCTACGTCTCCCTCCCTCTCTCTCTCTCTCTCTCCCTGTGTGTGTATTTGGCCAGAATGAGAAGCAGCTCTCCCTCCCTCACCCCCCCCCCCCCCCCCCCCCCATTTACGTGGTCTGAGGAGAGAGGGAGGGAGGGAGGGGAGGAGGGAAGGAGGAGGAGGACCGAGCCGGGCTTCTTCTTCTTCTTCTTCTTCTTTCTCACGCTGGAAAGGCACACCGAGAGAGAGAGAGGGACTACTGGGTTGCTGCGAGTTTTCCGGGCTGTATGGCCATGTTCCAGAAACATTCTCTCCCGCATCTATGGCAGAGGTTGTGAGGTCTGTTGGAAACTAGGCAAGTGGGGTTGATATGTCCTACTAAAGCTCGCCCTGCCGCTCTTCCCCCTCCCCCCCCTTTTTTTTTTGGTCCCCCCTGCTTGGTGTTGTTTGGAAGGGTGTCTTCCTGGATGGTGATGATGGTTGGTCTTCCAGGGCTCCTTCGCGGAGGGTCTGCCATGGCTTGCTTTCCCCTTGGCACCTGGCAGAAGAAACCCCGAACAGGTTGCCGCACCTGCTTCTCCCCATCTTTCCTATTTTCTCCCCGACCCAAAAAGGGAGGGAGGTTGCCTCCTCCACACAGCCAAGAGGGGCGAGGAGCCTGTCAAGTTTCTCTCTTTCTCTCTCGTTTTTGGTGCCCTTCGTGTCCGGCGCAGGGTCACCTCCACCGAGCCTTTCCTTTCCTTTCTTTTTCCCTTCGTCTCTCCTAACAGCCCTTTTCAGACAGTCCTCCAGTCCTCCAGATTTCCCCCCAGCCTTTGTTTTCCCAGGAGGCTTTTTATCTCTTCTCCGAAGGAAAGAAAACTCCTGCTTTCTCTGCTTTCCTCCCCACTCCTCCGTGGCCCTCCTTCTGCCAGGGTAGTTGCTGTTCTTTTGCTCAGCCCCGTTTTTAGGGGAAGGCCCAGCCTCCCTTGGTTCTGGAGGTGGTTTTGTTTTGCTCCTGCTGCTTCTTCTCCCTGTGAGGCTCTGGGACACACTTGTTGGGCTTCTCCCTCTCTCTGCTCTCTCTTCAGGCTAGTGCTGCCTCCTCCTCCTCCCAGGCAGTTATCTTTCTAGGCAGATTGTGTTCTTGCTTGGGCACTATGTCCTCAGCTGCCAAGGCCACACTTCTGGTTAAGGAGGAGGGGGTTGCCCTACATTGGAAGGCATCCAAGTGTGGAAAGGTTGGTTCCCTGCACTGCAATACCACCCATTGCAAAGTTGTGTATGTGAAACAGGGAAGCTCAGGGCACATCTTCACTAACCATCTAATGCATTTTCAGACAAGCATCTGAGTGCTATCCATTGTGTGAAACAGGGAAACTCAGTTCACATCTTCACTGACCATTTAGTGCAGTTTCCAAGGCCCCTTCTGCAGTTTATATATATAATCCAAGTGGTCCAAGCAGATAATCCACATTATCTTCTTTGAAGTGGATTATATGAGTCCACACTGCCATGCAATGCAGTTTAAAGCAGATAATCTGAATTGTATGTGGCAGTGTAGAAGGGGTCAAAGAAAGTGCTTTTGCTGTGCAGATGATTACATAGGAAACCCTGGAACCAGCTTGAGGCCCACATGGTGATTATACAAACCACAGGACATAGGTTATTTTGATAGCTTCCAACTGTATTAAATGGTCAGTGTAGATGTGGCTTCTGTTGCTTGCTCTTTGTCCTCCCCTGGAATAGAGCCTAGATAGGGACTGGATTGAGCCCTCTGGTGGCACAGCGGGTTAAACTGCTGAGATGCTGAACTTGCTCACAGGAAGGTTGGCGATTCAGATCCGGGGAGGGGGCTGTGCGCTCACTGTTAGGCCCAGCTTCTGCCAATCTAGCAGTTCGAAAACTTGTAAATGTGAGTAGATCAATAGGTACCACTTCAGCAGGAAAGTAACTGCGCTCCATGCAGTCATGGCAGCCACATGACCTTGAAGGTGTCTACAGATATCGCTGGCTCTTCAGCTTAGAAATGGAGATGGGCACCACCACCATCCCCTAAAGTTATATTCAGCTAGGCTTAATGTCATGGGAAACCTTTACCTTTTTTTAAGGGACTACATTGTTTTCATCAAGGCATTTGCACTGCATCCATGTAGTAGTAAAGTATTTTTAAAAAAATACATGCACACTGCTTCTACATGTTTTATTTTATTATGATGTTGCTGTTTACTGTTTGCATTTTTGGTTGTGTTTTGGTTTTATTTTTATTGTAATTTGTTGTTCGGGCTTGGCCTCATGTTAGGCGCTCCAAGTCCCCACTGGGGAGATGGTGGCGGGGTATAAATAAAGTTTATTATTTATTAATTATTATTCTCTCCTGGAAAAAAGGTTATTAAGATACCTTTACTACTTCAACGAGTATTGTTGTTATTATTTCTTACCCTCTTCTCCCTGAGCACGGTACAACATAGGTAAAAATAGAATATATAACTAAAAATACTGACTAGGGGTGATGGGAGACTTAGCTAAAAACATTTGGTGGGCAACATGTTGCCCACTAAGGTCTATGTGAAGTTTTATTGTCGTTGTTTTGATCAAAAGAGGAAAATACTTTAAAACGTGAAGATAAATGGAGGAAGAGCAACAAATGTTGAGATTGTCTCTCTTCTTCCATGATGCTGGGAACTGAAAACAGCTTTGGAAATGTTGTCATGGTTGAGCCATAGGTTTATTCTCCCCCTTCCACTTTTGTGGCTAGCAACATGATTATGGTGACCAGGACGTAGCACACTTCTTGCAGTATATATATTGGCAAGGACAAAATGTGAAAGACTGGCATTAAAAATTTCAAGCCTAGTGTAGTATCCTCCCACAGTCAATATAAATGATAATTTTATACAGAACTGGGGGAAAAGCAGAGAGATGGGTCCCTTCCACAATGTAATTCAGATATAACACAGCAAGAGATGGCAGTAAACAATGCAGGGAGGATAAGTGTATTCACAGCAAAAGATAATGAGGGACAGTTGTGTTTTCATAAGAATTGCCAAGCGTTTATTCCTGTGAATGCAAGAACTGTATCTTTTCTGAAAATATTTTGTGGGATGGGTGAAAATCAGGAAATGTTGTGGGATGGATGGAAATCAGGAAATGTCAAGGTTATGGATTTTGGGCTGGGTGTGGTGAATCTCTGAACTGTATGACATATTGCAGTTTATGCTGTAGCTTATTTTCTTAGTTTATTCAGATATCCCATCAAGGTCAGTAGCTGTCACGATTGCTCATGTAAAGCAAAATGACAGCTGGTATAGTTTTCTGTGTCCGTTGTTACATCTCTTGAATTCAACACTTTCTCTTTTCTACTTACTAACCTAGATTAACTGTGTGTGTGTTTGTGTGTGTGTGTGTGTGTGTTAAAGAAAATTAAGTGTAATTAAGATTAAACCTTCTAAAGATTAAAAAAAGAAGTTATGATTCAAATTTTGGGATGCTACCTTCCAGCCACTTTATAGCAATGGTTCTCAATCTGTGAATCCCCAGATGTTTTGGCCTTCAACTTCCAGAAACCCTAACAGCTGGGTGATTTTTTTTCATGTCAGGAGTAACTTGAGAAAATGCAAGTTGCTTCTGGTGTGAGAGAATTGGCAGTCTGCAAGGACATTGTTCAGCGGACGCCCAGATGTTTTGATGTTTTACCATACTTGTTGGAGACTGTCATGTCCCCGCATGGGGAGCTGGAGCTGACAGAGGGAGCTCAACCTGTTCTCCCCAAATTCAAACTGCGACCTGTCAGTCAGCAGTCCTGCCAGCACAAGAGTTTGATCCATTGCACCACTGGGGGTTCGGGTTGTAAACTGGCTGGGATTTCTGGGAGTTGTAGGCCAGAACACCTGGGGACCCACAGGTTGAGAACCATGCTTTATAGAGTTCATTACCTGAGGAATCATTGTCAGCAACCCTTTCAAAATACAGTCTACTTGAAAATGTACATGGGACCCTTGGTATCTGCTAAGATTTGGTTTCAGGACCCCCTATGGATACCGAAGTCCATGGGTGTTCAAATCCAATTGTATACAGTAACATAGTAAAATGGAGACGTTATGTAAAGTGACACATTTATGGTTTGCTTGTTGGAAAGTCTTTCTGGGGGGAGAGAATATTTTCAAGATCTGATTGGTAGAGTCTGTGGATGCAGAATCCATGGTTACAGAAGGCCGACTGTGTGCAGTGTCCTAAAGTTCTTTGATGTCAGGCTGTCACAGGTGAATGCACTATTTTTTCATGCTCCAGTTCAAAAGTACACTGCCTCTGAACCCCACATATCTCCCCGCTGTCTTTTTCCTTCCCGTGTGAGTACTCAGCCTTTCACAGTAAGTTGTTTGTTCCCAAGAATAAGGATGGAATTATACCAGATGTCTGTAGTGACCTAAATGTGTAAAAAAAATTAAACAATCTTTCTCTTGCCTGAGGCTGTAATCCAATACTCACTTATGCAGAGAAAGTTTAATTGAACTCAGTGGGAATTTCTTTGGGTATAACAAGTACAAGATTATCTCACACTATGTCCAGTATATCCTGGCTCCCTGGAATTGTGAGTATTTTCCAGCCTGGATCATAAAACACTGACAATGTGCATACATGGATATAGAATTTTGTATGTAAGAATTGCTTTCAAGTTGCATGTTGA